TATATATATACAATAATTTAGCATTTCCATGACCTTGTTTAGACGTTCTGCAGCAAATACTGTGGTGTTATTGTTAAAAAAACATAATGGGGAAAAGAATACTCTGAACATATTGAAAACTATGACTCAAACAAAATCTAAAGACATCTACACAGCAACAAGAGAGATTAAACTCAACATTTCTGCACTCCAAGAGACTCCAAGTAAACCACAAAACACATTTAAGTGCTAAGAAAATGAATTTTGTGTGAAATGTAATTCTACGTAATAGAACATTACAACTACTACAAATGGAACTGAGGTCCCTCATAAAGACTTCTGATCCTTGATGGCAAATACTACAATGTCTCATCAACATACTGCACTCAAAGGGTTTTTAAAAGCCTTAAAAAAACATGGTGTAAACCAAGACTTTGAATAAGATTTCATATACCGTATGCTCCTTACCCACCACATTAATATTAACACCATTTGTTTTAAGCTAAGAAATTTCTAGGTGCCCCACCTGAACTCATGTTCCTATCTGAAGCAACACAATATGAGAAACAGTTAATCATTTCTGTATATAAACATGCAAGAATCTGTAAGTCGTAAAATAATATTTTGGACTTTGTTGATGGGTGAACATGCATTTTCTATAAAGTCTACATCCTGTAGAGCAACACTAAAAAAAACAACTCAGTCTCATTCATCACTTCATTTACAAAAGCCAAACACACACAAACACTGCATGTTAATGAACATGAAAAGACATTTATATGTTAAACGGGGTTCTGGCTTAATTTCCTACCTTTTCTCAAAAGTGCTCCAAACACTTCACACAGCAAGCATTAAATGAGACAGGATCACACAATTAAGAGGTGCTGGGGGAAACACTCCAATGCACACACATACCTACAGAAGCACATATTTTTTGCAAGACTAGATCTTACAGCATAATATTGCAGTCTTGATCCAGGGGAGGAGTAAGATCTCCTGAAACCGCATTGTGTAATTGACAAACGGACGCCGTATCAGCACACCAATCATTAAAAAAACTTTTTTTTAAAGCCTGACAGTTGAAGAAGAGTTTAAAACTGACTAGAGCAAATCAACTTAAAGTTGTATTTGACATACCTTACTAAGGAGTCCCATATTCCTTTGCTTTCACTTGTTTCGCTTAAGAGATCTTCATTGATTTTCTCCGTTTTTTTCTGCACCTTTAATGATAAAGCGGACACAAACGCTTCAACAGGTTTCATCTGAATAAAACTGTTCTGACACCCATAATATGTGGGCTGTGAGGGCCGAGCTCATCAAGGAAACTTTCAGCAGAGCAATTTAATGATATGATGGATTTCAGAGCATTTAATACAGAGTACATATATCTGGGAGGTGCTCTCACCCTGACTTTGATGATCTTACTGTGGAAGCTGTTTAACACAACTATAAYATCAGCAGCTTCAGCCGGGGAATCCGTCCCATCGTGCCTGAAAAAGTCAATAAATGTTAAATATAATTACTGTCATCGAGATAAAAAATAATCATAATGAAATCTGAAGCATATTAGTGGAAACAGTTAAAGTCCAACTTTAAGTCAGACATAATCTGCCAACTTTATGACTTTTTGCATAGTTTAGTTCTGCCAAGATTTCAAAAAAAAAAAATCTTTTGTTCCTTTGTATTGGACATGTAAAAGTTCAGCAGCTAAAAACGGAAGAAAAAAAATCAAAACTATTATAGTTGCCTTAAATCTACATTACACCTTTTTATAAATCTGAATGCATTATGAAAACTAATTATAAAATCTTATGTTTTGTTGAAAAAAATCATTTGTAAAGTGGCTTCAAAATGTACTCTTTACAATTTACATAACTCAAAGAGAACAAATGTGGAACGAGTCCGTTAATAAAAAGCAAAGATTTTCTTCTTTGAAAGTGTCCTTGAAAACACCTCTGAAGTAAAACAAATGTTTAGCATGATGTGGATTCACAGGTTTGAACCCAGAGCGACGGGGAGAGAAGAATGTACACTATAGGCTCTTCTAATGAAGGAGACAACAGCCATTAATGATCAGAGCACTAACAGACAGTGTGAGAGCACACACTTTAAAGCGGATACTGGGACAGCTGCCAGGGTCAAAAGCAGACCATATTCATTACCCTCCATCATCATTAGGAATCACCTTACCATTATTTTGCCCATCACTACCTCCCAGCCATGCTGTATATACTGGTAGATTTAATGAGAAAGTCTGTACAGTATTGATTGTGTAACACAGCCTTCCAGTGTAATTGTTTTAGGACTGATTTGCCCAGTAGAGAATGTATTTTGGCAGACACAATCTGCAAGGTCTAATGGTGGAACACTACGGAGCAAACTTGAGGCAAACTGACTATGATGCACCGCAAGCCATTATAACCCTAAATGCTCAAAAAAGGCAAAAACTCTAACCCCATTGCTATGATAAATGCCCCCTCCTCTGCGGACCCAAGGCAAATCCCGCCTCCCTCCCTCCGCCGTGCTCAAGTGCTGCTTGTGTTTTTCCCCCTTTCTGCTGTCAACAGTGCAAATCAGCCTTTAGGGCAACTGTTAGAAAGCACCAGAGATCAATCTGTATCCCTGCAATGTGAGGGTGTGTGGGGAGGAGAGTTGGTCATCTCATTCATCGCTGTCAAGACAAAAGCGCAGCAGCAACGAAGGCTGCGAGAGGAAAATGCACACTCTGGGACTCGGGAACACAGACGCTCCCAATAGGCTCTGATCGGCCACCTAACCAGAGCAGAGTGCCGCTAACCACAAGAATAATGACACTGCCAAGGTGAAAAATGACATCACCTCTTAGCTTCACCTGGAGGATTGGGGGATAAATCTCGGTTGTCTGATATGATTGCAGAGGAACCGAGGGCTGTATGTGTCCTAAATCTTAGGTGAGGCTAGCCAAAAAAAGGATGAAAGCTGCGATTGTAGAGATATCTACAACGTTGCACTAATGCTGTCAATGCAAACTCACATATGCTTGGTGTAATTGCCCCAGAATTCATTCCTTTTATTGTGTTAAAACAGAAAATAAATATTGAGCTGTGACTTCCAACTAGAGAAAAAGTAAGTTCCAAAGTGTACTAAAGTAAAAACATAGCATTAAAATAATCCAAGAAATGGAAAGTTTGTTTTTTCTATAGATATGATAAGTAGGTTTCTTACCTAAAATGTGTCAAACTTRAGGCACACAGGCCAAATGTGGCCTGCCACAGCATTTTATATGGCCCACAGGAGCTTCAAAGACATACTGACTTTAAAATAAAATAAGAGTATTCTGCTTTAAAGCCAAYATTGACCACTAACTACATCTCCCATAATGCATGTTGATTATTTTACCCGCAAGGTGATGGCATCTCACCCCTAGGTGTAGGTGAACAGGGCTCAACAGCCGGTGTACTGTAATTCACCATGTAAAATCTCCATTGCACTGAGTTTTAACTGGCTACTTTTGCTGCGACACAGCTGTATGGGAAGTGGGAGTTTCCCACATACAAGTCGTGAATTTAAACTGGGATGTCCCTCCAGTGGAAATGCACTTGTTGGAAAGTGGGGGGTGTTCAGAATTCAAGACAAACAGCTAACTTACCACAACTCAACAACAGTGAGTGAAACTCACGTTTACTTTTAGTACTATTTCTGTATTATCTATTTTACATTTAGTCAGTTACACACATAGAKCTCAGTTGTTGTTTGATAGCRGTGCTCARCTGTAGCAATGAGGCGAGGAACGTGACATWTTATGTTTATTAAACATGAACCGTCAAAGTTAATTASAACTAACYCTTTGAGGAGYCACCATAATGCTCATGTGTCCCTTGGTGAAAATGAGTTAGACRCTTCTGACCTCAAACAACATTACAACACTTAATCAAGCATACAGTATCTAAGTTCTGATTCTTACTGTATAAAAAAGAGACAGCTAAGCTATTTTTAARTGGGGTTTTATGAAAAGGCTATAAACTAATATTACCTGGTATAAATAGCTCTTTGAATGACCTCAGTTTGGAGAAACAAAGTTTGATTCTGACTAAATTGATAAGCAACAAGCTTCAAAACCAAACTAGATTACTGTTTTAAAGTAAATCCAATGATTTTACAACCTTTATAAACAGTTATTTTTGCTTTACATGCTTACATATACAGAATTTTTGGGTTACTTATAAGAGCAAATTGAGGTGGTACCAGCAAGCTGTAGCAGTTCCAGCAAAGATACCAGAATAATTTAGCTGGAATCCACTTTGGACTTGGCCTCGCTGACACTTACCATGAGCTCATCCATCAGATCAGTATTAAATCCCTTTTTTCTCCAAGGTGAGGTTGTACAAAATGTCATGTACAACAGGTAGGATATTTATTGTTTATATTTCCACAGGATCCCACTTCAAAAGACTATACTACTACTATACTGAAACCTATTCTGTAGTCTGAGGAGGAAATCACAGAAGGTGACCTGCTACATCTTCTTTCTAATAGCCATCCTTTACGCTTGTCTTTATCCGTATGCTGGAAAATACTCCAAACACCTATCAATGCTTTGCTTTTCTACAATGTCAACAGCTTTTCATGTTGCCATAGCCAAAGTATTTATCGTTAGCTGAAAATGGAGGCAACTGAAAACAGCCTCAAAGCCAAGGTTTAAATGCATCCGTCATTTTGTCACTGTTTCGTGTTTGTTTGAAAATAGCTAAATATGATAATTTAGAACTACATAAAATGCTTTACTCACGAGAGAATCTGATAGATTTCTTCTGATCTGCCTTTACGTAATCTCAGGGTCCACGCACCAGGATTGGCCTTCAGTTGAAAATATCCCTGCACAGATTAACAAACTAACTTGAAACAAGAAAAGCAGTCCTAAATGTGTGACAAGAATCAGGGGTTTTTCAAACAGTTCAAGAAAACTATTTTGGTATCTGGGATATTAAACAGAGAAATCTGCTGACCAGGTTAGCCATGACAATAGTGTCATACATGAGCGGGTCCTGACTCATGCCCAGGGTAAACTGCAGTCCACGTGGAGGCTGACCGGTCGACAGGTCAAAGCAGTGGCCTTCCAGTAAGAGGTGCTCCAGTTCAAATTCTGCTGCCACGACCCCGTTCACCTGGAAGGAACCATAAATCACAGAGCACCGAAACCCACGGCTGCATGAAAAGTATTTTGGCCGAACTCGCACATGACTAAGCACCTCAGTACCTCCTGCAAGTGAATGTTGTCCAAGTCATGGGGGCTGCTCACCGCCTGCACCATCCAGCTCTCTGGTGTGATCATATTAAGGGTGAGAAGTGGAGATTCTGGGAGCTCCGCGAAACGAGCAACTGGGCCTGGAGACGCCGACTCATTCGCCAAGAAAGCCACATCGGGCTCCAAGACAAAACGGTAAAAACTGTAARAGAGGAAAAACGTATTTAGATGTTCACCAAATCAGATGACTAAAAACTACATCAACTGTGAAGATAATGGAAATCTCTGAAATTAGATTGCTTTTTGTCAAAGACTGAAACGTCTTTTAAGCAAAGCCACCATTGTCTTTAGTAAACACTGACTCAGCAAAATGTTTTATAGTTTTCTAGCTAGATCTGATCGATGGGTACGTCGGTGACAGCTATGWATATGCAATTCCTTCAAAGTGAGGAATCTAATACTAATATTGCCGGAGCTCATGCTCAGCCAAAAACAAAAGCTTGCAGCAGTCTGCACCAGAAAAGTTCCCTTTTTCCATCAATAATKCCGTCAGAGTTAAGTTTCAGGCCAAATCTGTCTGGTAGTTACTGCTTCCTTCTTACAGAGGAGTTATGAGGAGTGTAACTGTAGGTAATGAAAGATTATTGATGCTGATCCTCTTAAAGCCTTCTTAGACTTAAAGTACATTAACACATGTATTATTCAAAGAATTAATTTCTACTCTGATTGTGCATTTATTGACATTTCCTAAGTAAGATGAGTACAAGATGGGCAAGGAACAACTGTAGTTAAAGACCCGACAATCTGTTACAGTTGAGGAAACATCATTTTTAAGGCCTTTGGTTCTGTTCAGGACTTTTCTTCATTATATCCAAAAAAGAAAAAACATATTAAAACATTTTAAAAAGACAAAAGCTTAGTAAAATGATATATTAAAATTTTAAAAAATATATTAAAATATTGAAATATATTTGAGTTTTTTAAGGCRAGGGCGATAATTCAAAATTGACTTTTTTTAGCTTTATATGATGTTAAAATGACATTCACTCATTAAAAACATATCGAGAGTGTTGTTTTGACTGATTCATGCTTGTTTGCTGAATCCTTCTCCTGTGGTAGCCATGTGGAGCTGTCTAAAAACTTGCTGGTACAAAGCTCCGCCTATTCCGTATGTACAAAGCTCCTCCCCGAATCTCAAGTCTGCAGCTGAGCTCCTGCCCCACAGAGCACCCCTCCCCCAAAGCATTGTCTTGAAGTTGTGCTGAAGTGGGAGTGTCAGAAATGGTATGAGGTTCTTAAAGAGACAGAGGCCAATTTCAAGAGATGACATTTGATGCAAAGTCATTTTTATTTTTGATATTTACAGCTTTTTCATAACAACTGAAGGTAACATAGTTACTTGATTGTAGTATAGAATTTAACTACTGGTATGTGCCTGGAAAATGCATAATACGCCCCCCCCTTAAAAGTCAAACATTCTCCTATACAGTATGTTTATCATTTTAGTGGTCAAATATATATAGAAAATGGCCAATAAAGAATCAAAAGCCTGAAAAAATATTTTTTAATACAATTTTGGACAATGACAGCACAACTGGAGCTTATTTGTCGAACACAAATATATCTTTTAGCCATCTGTGTCAATTACAGCCTGCTCTCGCTCTGGGGGACAGGAAGTTGGCAGGGTTGGGGAAGGGGCCGTGTGAATGATTTGTGGTAGAAGACTTGTTTCCATCAATGTGATTTCAGCGAGTAAACTCTGCTGTATCTCTGGAGGTTTTAGTAAATGAACATGGCAAATATTTCAGCTTGTTATGAAACAAATAGGACAAAAGAAAATACACCAAATCACATAATAGCCAGGACACCCAGGAGTTGAGCTGTTGATGGGAGGGGAAGAAAAAAAAATCAATGTATTATTTGCCTTTTTTTTCTTAACATTATAACCGCTTTTATTGTCTTCACTGAAGTGAACCGCAGCAGTGAATGTTGTAAGCAATTTGCCTGGAGATGCAAGTGGAAGCCCAGAGCAATAAGTTGGTGTTATTAAGCAGATTGCATCTGTGCCGTTAACTCATACGAAGAGGTGGAGCGAAGCAAAGATGCTAAATCTGCAGTGGCAAGAGGAAGCACAAACAGGCAAAACTGGAGAGTTTTAATTACTGCTGGAGCTGGAGAGCTTACCTCTTGAGGGGCATCTCGGACAACTTGGCCCGGCAATTCATAAACACCTGCAGTCTCACGTTGACCACTTGACTAAGCACCTGCAGGACTCACAGAAACAGAGGCCTAGTCAGAAGCAGGGAGGAAAATAAAAGCTGTAGAAGAAAAGCAGAGCACCTATTTTAACTATATTTTTTAGACATTCTCATTTTATTGAGTTTATCAATGTTTCATCACTGTACAAAGTAATTAATTATATACGTGTAATTATTAGAGAAATAAAATAAACAGGGTTAAATTAGCTTAATGCAGAATATGTGAAAAAGGGGCTTATTTACTTTCTGACGTTTTCTTGAGAATTTGTTCGCCTTCTTTTCAATTTGGCAAGTTCTGTGGCTTGCTGCGTTAGTGTGTCTGAGGAGTGGACAGAAAAGGGAGCAGAAGAAGATTACAGCTTACGATCAGCAGCGAGGAAATCTTCTGTGCCTCTCTGGTGAGGGGGTCAACGATGGCCACAACATCGTAGAACACCTCATTTTCTCGCGGTGAGAGGTGGAGCACACTGAGGAGAGCAGTGCACAACAAAATGAAAAAATAGAAATGTTTTGACAGTGCATTATTTAAAGGAAAACTCTGCCTGTACCTGTGGGTATCTTTGAATTGGACATCTCTTCTGACCTCTCCTTTGGGGGCTGCTGCGAGGAGGGCATCGACTTTCATGACTAAGTCACTGGCACTGACAGATAAAAGATCAGTTCTTCGTTTATTATGTGTTGGAAGAGGTAAAAAAAATTAAAATGCATTTTTTAAAGTACTTTAAATTAAAGGAAAAGAAACCACAGTGTTTCTGAAAAGAATACAAACGTACTGCTTTGGTTTCATCCCCATCTGCTTTACTTCAGCTTTGACTTTTTCTGCTGAACCACTCAGTGTAATCCTCTCAAGCAAGTGGAAATCCTCCACAGTGAATTCTTCCTGTTCTTCAAAAGGACCAAGGATCTAACAGGAAGATAACGCAGTCAGAACATGACTTCTGCGGTTCTTATCGCAGTACGTATCACTTACAACTCGCCCAGGGGATGTTAAATCTAATATGATTGTGACAGTGTTTTATCCACTTAAAGTCATGCTATTCACAGACGCTGCTTGTTTTTTTTTTTTCCCCTCTCTGCTTTCTATTCTGGGAGAAAAGCCCTAGCACAGCAAGAGAAGAACGCAAGATAATATTAATTGTTACTGTCACCTCAGCGGCTGGACTCTTCATCCCTGGCTGTCAGCAGAGCTGCTGCTGAGACATCAGTCATGAGCTTYAGACACACTTCCATTGACAAACACACAGATACACACAAAACCTCCACACGGTGCAATATGTGCCACCTGCGACCTTTGAGAAACAGATGTTTTGCCGATTTGACAATGCTAAGAAAGCGCTCTGCAAACCTAGAGGGAAAAAAATCCTTCAAATACACGGAGCTTAGAGGATCCTGTTCTACTGTACCCAACACGCTCTAAGCATTACCCAGTGCTTTATTCACTGGGACTGTAAGGTGGGTTAATATACAACAGGAATATATATATATATATATATATATTAAGAGGTGTAAATACTGATTGAACAGAGTTGTTGCCACATCTATATTTAAATATAAAAGTTTTAATCTAATGGTGCGTTCACACCGAACGCGATTTCAGCATCAGGAGCATCAGGTTTACATGCAAAGTCTATGGTGGACGCGCTTCAATCAGCGTCAGGAAGTGCTGCRGCGCCTCAAGCGCGATTAGAGCAGCGCGATTTGAACGATCTGAGCGTTCGATGCGCTGAGGCGCAAATCACTGAAGTTAGAAAATCTGAACTTTTGCAGCTCGACGCGCAGCATCAACCAATCAGAGAGACTCCACTGGGTGACGTAGTGACATATTTCCTGATGGGACAGTTTACTGAATGATGTCCACTAACCTGAAACAGATGGAGAGGAGCCCTTTAGCTGAAATCGAGTGCCTGCAGTCGGTGTCCTGACAGGAGATATCCTCACCAATGTGTGGCAGCGACTCATCAGACTGGAAAAATAGTCCTGAAAGCGAGCTGTGAGCCTCTACTCTGAATTATCTGGTGAATTAATTATGAATTAATTATCTGATGAACGTGACATGCTCTTGCTCTCTGTAAATAAAGCAAAGCCACTTCCTCGTCCGACATTAAACAGAGCCCGACAGAGGAGGGAGGGGCGGGGATGCTCTTGCCGTGCAGCGCTTCAAGAGCTGACCTGCGTCTGACCTCAAAGTGCACAAGCGACCAACTTCAGCATTGGCTGCGATTTTGAAGCTGAAATCGCGTTCGGTGTGAACGCAGCATAATGCTTAAAATGCTAATAATGAAAATGTATTTTAAATTATTACATTGTCAAACAAACAAAATTAGATTTTTTTCTGAATTTAAAACTATTACATTCTAAAATAAAACAGGATACATTTTTCAAAYGTAATTTTGATCTAAAATATACTTTCAGTTGTGGGTCTGTGGACAGGTTCTGAACAATTAATGTCCTGCTTGTTGTAGACGACTCTATGAGCTAACTCAATTTAGAGAAAAAGTCTAATGTTGACTCGACTGACAAGCTATTTGTAGCAGCAGCAGCTAGCTGTGGCACTTCTGTTGTAGCCTGGAGCACCTCAGGCAGGAATATTTCTTCTCCACTTCAAAAAAGCAGAACTATTCTTATTAACTCTTGGCTTACAGAGTTTAACATAAAGTGGTTGGGCTGTCACAAATAAACTTTAGTAAATTAACAGAAAAACACATCATTGTACTAAATAATTTGTACTTCTCTGTATTTTTAAGCAGCTACTGCATAGGCCTATATAAAACAAAGCATTTCAAACCTTCATGAATAACAACAAAGTTCACTTTTTTGCACTGAAAGTTAAAACATGCGTAAAGTGTCTTTTTTGTCTTTTTGTTTTTCTAAAACAACAAAAAAAGCCGTAAGGCAGATATTTCTTATCTACAGCAGAAACAGTGTAAAATGAAATTTGTAGCTCTGTAGTAAATGTGTTTTTCAAAGTAAAAGGGATACAATGAAAGAAAAGAAAAGAAAGAAAAACAAAACAAAACTATTTAAGATTTTGGTCACAAGTCTAATTACGCTTTTGGAACAATGCTGCCCTTCCTAACCAAACGGCAATTTCTGCACTTGAAATTTCTCTTTTATTGCTTCCAGGATGACATCTATAGATAAAAAGTCTCTTTGAAGGATATGAGGCAGAGATTAGTCATTTTAAATGTAACGGAAAGCAGAAATCAGCTACATTAACATTTAAATGTTCACTAACAGACATGTTTCCCTAAAATATGATCATAGGGTTTTAGTATTAATTGTAATTTCCACCATAAACTGATCAAATCTACTGTTTTGACAAAGGAAACAAGTCACAAGTCTTAGAGTCACAAGTAATGGTTTTAATGAATTTTAAGACATTAACTCAATGATTAAACATTGCATTACTGGATCAACACTCCTGCCTGTTAGTAAAATTATAATATTGCTGAGTTAAAGCCAAGACCACTCACTCTGCCGTTGCTGATCACTGCCTGCAGTCCAGGACGAAGCTTCAGGACATCTCCACAGAACAGCTGCTGACTGTGGATGAAATCCACTTCCAACGTGTTGAATTTTTTCTCAAAGGCATCTACGTCCATGCCCTGGAGCAGAGTAACAAAGCATTTATTCATGTTAAAAAGATTGCACAGTTCTGACAATTCTACAAAGATTTTCTGAAAGCTTGGTTTTGTGATTCAAATGGGAAGTTTTAGGACATTTCKCTCATTGACTGCAGCCTGTCAACAAACGGCAACCTGAGTAAAGAATTGGCATGAATAAACAATGATGTATGAAAAGCAAAAGTTTTCACTTGTACAATCATTGCAGTTTTCAGACATAAGACGTGCTGAAATAAAAAAAAAATACACACATTTCAATCAGAGATGTCAGAAATGCCTGCATGAAAACAAGATAAATCAATTTGTAATTAATATAACAAACTCTTAATTAAACCTCAACCATATTTATCCATAATAAATTGGTTGTGGGAGTGTGGAGGGGCTTGTGGAGTCAGGTTATTAGTTTCTCCAACATTTCCCTCCTCGGGAGATCAGGTGAAATACCAATAATGTCAGCACAATCCAGTCAGCAAGTCTGTCTGGCAGCCAATAATAAACTTGTATCCCTTGGCTTTGGGTCTCAAGTCACAAAGCTGCTTCCTACCTATCTTTCTGTTGCTATTTTCAGCCCATTCTCTCCCCCATTGTTTGGGGCTTGTATAAGTGAAGGAAAGTTTGCTATRCTAGCCCCGGGTGAAGCTTGGACTGTATGACTTACTCCTGATGGGAGAGAGAGGAGCTCTCCTGTCAACTCATTTGTTGATTAGTCACTGAGAAATCCTTTTTTTTTTTTTGGCTTCTGTGTAGGATTGTGTGGGTGGATACTGCACACTATACAGCACAGGGTACACCAGGCAGTGGCTGCAGACTGCTTACAGCTGCAGAGTGATGGTCAGGCTCGGCTGAACGTACGTAGCTTGCACRGCGATGAGCTGGAGCTCAAAGATTCATCAGCCCCAGGAGAGGCAGGTACACACCAGCACTTTTTACTTAAAGGTGCTTCGTGTGGAGGCTGTCCTGTGATGGCCCTGTGACATTTCAAGTGGAACTGACACTGAACAGGCTGCTTTGCCTTGGTACCTACAGGCTGCGGAGCATCAGGCTATGCTTTAAATCTATTCTGTTAGCTGATGTTTAGGGGTGAGTGAGAAGATTGGCTCATCAATCACAATTTTCCCAGACTGTGAACTTAAATGAAAAAAACAGTGAGACAACTCTGGACGGGGTTCTTCCAAACCCTTTATTCTGCATGAAATTAATGATAAAATGTAGTTATATTAGTCATTAAAAAACACAAAATGATAATTCCTCCCAGTGACTCGTTGACACATCCAAAAACTTGAGACCCTGCGTTCTCATATGCTGACATTGCATTTTTGCCCCCCCTGCTCATGATACATTAATTATTTCAACTTTATCCCACTGGCCTCATTAATAGACACTACCGGAACCTTCTAGCGGTCTCATGACAATATTATACTCATTTGAGCGAAAACAAGATGGCGAGGATTGCAGTAAAAAGCTTCTCCAATAATTCTAGTAAAAAAAATTGTCAAGGTGAAAATCCAAGTTACATTTCTTAAAACCAGTGTATTTATGCACAGCTACATCTTTAGCATCATAAGACATGCAAACCACTTTTTTTACAACTGAAGCAATGTACAATGTCGGTAAGGATAAAGTCCTCATTTGAGGACGTTGGGCCTCATGCAAGAACCGTTCATACGCACAGATTTGTTCTTAAGTTGTGCGTACGAGTGATTTAGGAGAATTTGTGGCATTCAACAATGTTTTTGTATTCTAAGATTTTTTTCAAATACGAACAAAATTCACAAGTGGTCCAGACCTGTCGTATATTTTATGAGCAGTCAGTCTGCTGTTATCCAGACAGATTTTCTTCATTAATAACTTTATATTTCGTTAGTTTGAAGGTATTTTGAGTTGAAAATAAATCACACTCCATAATTATGTTGACAATAAGTTATTCTGCTTGAATTAGAGTTATWATTTTAAATGTAATAATTTAGACTAACAATACAAATTGTCCTTCCGGCCGGCTTATCCGCTATCAGGTGCGACAGGGGGGCAGCAGGAGAGACCCCGCGCTCTCCGCAGCGACACATTCCAGCTCATCCTGGGGG